CATCGTCATCTTGCGCGTCCTCATCAGCATCATCAGCATCATCAACATCATCAGCATCAGCAGCATCATCATTATCAGCATCATCAGCATCATCAGCAGCATCATCAGTATCCCAGTCGTCATCAGCATCAGCATCATCATCATCATCATCGTCATCATCATCATCCTTATCATCATCAGCAGCATCATCGGCACCAGCAGCATTACCATCATCTCCATCATCATCAGTAGCATCATCATTAGCAGCATCATCATCATCGTGACCATCGTCATCATCATCAGCATCATCAGCATCAACATCATCATCAGCATCATCATCATCATCATCATCCCCCTCATCCTCAGCCTCATCCTCATCCTCCGCCTCCTCTTCCTCCTCATTCTCCTCCTCCTCCTCCTCCTCCCCCTCTCCCTCCTCCTCCTCCTCCTCCACCTCCTCCTCCTTGTCCTCCTCCTCCTCCTTCTCCTCCTCTCCCTCCTCCTCTTCCTCCTCCTTCTCCCCCTCCTCCTCGTCCTCCTCCCCCTCCTCCTCCTCTCCTCCCCTCCCCCCTCCCCTCCTCCTCCACCTCCTCCTCCTCCTCCCCCTCCTCCCCCTCCTCCTCCCCCTCCTCCTTTACTTCCTCCCCCTCCTCCCCCTCCTCCTTCTCCTCCTCCTCCTCCTCCTCCTCCTCCTCCTCCTCCTCCTCCTCCTCCTCCTCCTCGTAGGTGGCTCCCCAACGCGTTCCCGCGCAGCCGTCTTGTCCGCCGCGGGCGCGGCGCACGGATGGGTCCGTGCAGACAGGAGCCCCCAGCCCCGACGGGCGAGGCGCCGTGATCGCAGGGCGGATGCTAACCGAGCTGTGGAGTGGGCCCCCAGGCGTGGAGAGGACCCCCAGGGCATCGGCAAGCAAGGGCCAGAAGCGAGCGGCGCGCAGGCTTAGGCTAGCCACGTGCCGTCAGGCGGCGTTGGACTGGGCCTGCCAAGTTCAGCAGCCGGACTGGTGGAGCTCCCCGTGGACGAGTATCTCCGCGGAGGAGCCGTGGCAGCAGGGGCGCAATGCAGAAGCTGGCCCCGCGCGTTGTGAGAAGCTGGAGGCGTTGGAGAAGACAGTGCCCAACGTGAGCAGCAACAGCACTGCCGTGATGTGCGAGAAGGGGCGAGAGGCGTGCGTGCGAGAGGGGCGAGCAGCGACTGCCACTGTAGAAGAAGCGAAGCTGGAGCCCACCATCGCTAGTCATTCCCCGTCGCTCCTCGCCGCCACGGCTGGATCAGAGAAAACGGAAAGCGAGAAAGCTGGCGAGGCGACGATAGAGCCAGACGCGACCAGCCACAGTTCAGAGATCGGGGCATGTGAGATGCGGCGAGAGGCGTGCGTGCGAGAAGGACGATCAGCGGCTGCAACTGTAGCGGAGGCAAAGCTGGAGCCCAACATCACCAGCTACAGCCCGCAGCATGGGGCATGTGAGAAACGGCGAGGGGCGCGTGAGCGAGAAGGGCGAGCAGAGGCTGCACCTGTCGTACAGGCGAAGCTGGAGCCCAACATCGCTGGTCATTCCCCGTCGCTCCTCGTCGCCTCAGCTGGACCGAGCTGCACAAGCGCGGCGATGTGGCGGGCGCGCGCCGAGATCTCCCGCAAGTGGCCAGGCCCGAGCAGGGGGCAGCGCAAGCAGGAGGAGGAGGCGAAGCCGAAGCACGACGGCGACAGCTACAACGAGGAGATGTCGCCTCTCGCGAGGCGCCTCGGGGAGATCCTCGAGGAGGCCAGACGCACAGCGAGAAGTGCGAGAAGTGGGAGGCGAAGACTGCGCCCGACGTCCTCAGCTGCAGAGCTGGGAAGCAGGGCGCGCGGGAAGGCGAGAGAGGCGCGAGAAGAGAGAGCCTGCCGCGACCAGCTGCAGAGCTGGGATCGCGCGGGCAGGCGCCGACGCGAGATGCCGCGGTGCGCCCGCCCAGCGCCGCACACCCCGGGGAGCCCGCCGCGACAGCGGGCACACCCAGGGGAGCGGCCAGGGGCGCGGGGCCCGCGGCGCGGGGAGAGCGCCAGCAGGACGGAGCGGGCGCCGCCCGGGGCCGCAGACCCATGGGGAGCCCGCCGAGAAGGCGGGCACACCCGGGGGAGCGGCCAGAGGCCGTGCGCACCGCCAGCGGCGCCCGTGCGCGGGCGCCCCACGCCCTGGACGGGAGCCCCCTTGAGAGTGGGGGCAGACCTGGGGGGGAGGGGCAAGCGCCGCGGGCGCAGACAGCCACTGCGGCTGGCCGGGGAGCTCCGACGGGAGCACTCCTCCTCCTCCTCCTCCTCCTCCTCCTCCTCCTCCTCCTCCTCCTCCTCCTCCTCCTCCTCCTCCTCCTCCTCCTCCTCCTCCTCCTCCTCGGCCGCGTTCGAAACCATCCTGACCTGTCAGAAGCTTTCTCGGAAGCCTCCTCCTCCCTCCCTCCCTCCCTCCCTCCCTCCCTCCCTCGGCTCCCTCGGCTCCCTCCTCCCTCCTCCCTCCTCCCTCCTCCACGTCACGGCTGCGAACTCGGGGCCGTGGGACGCACCTGCCCGGTGTTCTTCCTCCACGTCACGCCGTCGCCCAGCGGCTCGAGCCACTGGCACCGGACCGGCAGCAGCCACAGCAGCAGCTGCGCGCCGAAGACCTGCATCAGGTTCTGGCCCCAGCCTCGTCGGCGCGCACAAAGTCGGCTACACGCAGGAGTGACCCTAGGCAAGAGTGACCTTTGGTGCGCGGCTTTCTGGGGGCCGCGGGGGGACCAAACACGAGCGCGCAAGACGCCATACTGTCAAAGCGCGCTCGGCGATCGGGAGACCCCGTTGTGGTCCCCACCAAAGGTCACTCCAGCGAAAGGTCACTCCTCACCAAAGTAACTACTCGCAAATGGCCTGGACCCGCCGCGGGGGATCTACGACCCACTACATCGAGGCGAGCATGTGGCTTTCGGACGTTTGCGAGTAGGCACTATGCGAGTAGGGGGCACGCGCTCGGGAAACAAAACGGACACACGGCTCTCCCCCTCCTCCCCCTCCTCCTCCTCCACCTCATCCTCCTCCTCCTCCTCTTCCTCCTCCTCCTCCTCCTCCTCCTCCTCCTCCTCCTCCTCCTCCTCCTCCTCCTCCTTGGGCTGCGCGCGAGGGCGGGGTGGCCGTCCGGGGCAGAGCGGGCCAGAGCTTCGTGCTCGAAGCAGGGCTCTGGCGAATGGAGGCGTCCGCGTGGGGCAGGGGCGCCCTTGCATCTGCCGCAATCTTGACCGGGCCCTGCAATCCCACACGCTCCACCCTGGCTGGCGAGGCGGCCCCGTGGCGCCCACCCTCTGCCTCGTAGCCTGAAGCTCCCCCCCCCCACACAAAAAAATGACGATCAAAAACGGAACTTGCGCGAGATGGAGCAGCGACCTTACGCAGAAGCTGACGCGGGCCGCCAGCGCGGAGCGCTACTCTGGAGACGAGGGCGCTGGCGCGCGAGCCTACGCGGGCAGTTTGTGCGCCCACGTCGGTGAAGACGACCCCCGCTTCTCTGCGTCAGCGAGAGAAGGCAGGGGACGTCTCAGGAGCGCCTGCACGTACGTTGCTCCCAGCGTACGTAAGGACCACATCCCGCACATAACTTCGGGCACCGAAGGATTGCAAAAAAAAACCCTTGAACGAAGGATTGCAAAAAAAAACCTTCGGAGGAAAAAAAAAAAAAAAAAAAAAAAAAAAAAAAAAAACTTCGGGTTTTTTGTTGCAATCCTTCGGTTGTTTTGCAATCCTTCGGCAACATGTCGAGGGAGGTCCTGCACGACACGCGGGCGAGGCGCCGAGCGAGCACCGCCTCCCAGGGCCCGACGCGTGGGAGCCCAACACTCTCGGTGCTCCCCCTGGTGCTCGAGAGCATCTCTGGTGCTGGAGGCGAATGAAGGGGCCCTGGGCACAAATAAAAGGATTCCCCAAATGTTCCTATACGTTCAATGTTTTTGTCTTCCCCCCCCACTTCCCGTATTTGCTATACTTTCTGAGGAATCGACGATTGAGCGTGTCTGTGTGTCTTTTCCGTCCCGAGGCGAAAGCAGGTCGGAGCATCATGAGCCTGGGTGCTTCCGATGAGCAAAAGAATGCCTCCGAAAAGCCGCCCGCCTGCCCAGAAGCCCGCCCCCCGCCTTCGTATGTGAGGGGGCCCTGGGACACACAAATTAAATACGCACAAATCCGCTGGCCCCCTTGCGGGGCCACCAGGCTGTAGGACCAAGGTTTGCTGTTCCCTGCACCCGTTCTAGTTGCCAATTTCCATTGTCACAAATCTGCTTCTTGCTGGGAAGCGTTTCTTTATGTTCGGCGACGACGGGCGTCATTGGAGGGGGGGGGAGGGCGCGGGGGGGTATGACGAGACGCCCCCCCCCTGCCATGTGGCTCCGGCACCACACCCGCGCCCGCGCGCACGACGCGACGAGCGATGAGCGACGACGACGACGCGAGCAGCATGTAAGTGGCGATCTGCCCATTGCGCCTGTGTACACCACAGCGCTCGCGTGCACCACACCACGCGTGTGCACCACAGTGCCTGCGTACACCGCAACAGCCGTGTGCAACGCACCGCCCGGTATACCACAATACTTGGGAACACTACAGCGCTGGTGTACATACACCGCAGCAGCCATGTGCAACACAACGCCTGTGTACACCACAGTGCTTGCGTGCACCGTGCACCGCAGCGCCTGTGCACCACCGCGCCTGTCTACACCACAGCATCCGCGTGCAACGCAGCGCTAGTGTACACCACAATGCCTGCGTGCATAGGACAGGTAGAAGGAGAGTGTACGTCAGGATCTGATGCGGACAACTAAACGTCACGCCAGGAAAGTTCTGATAATCGAGTGCGACGTTTTCCCCTCCTCCCTCCTCCTCCAACTCCTCCTCCTCCTCCGCCTCCTCCTCCTCCTCCTCCTCCTCCTCCTCCTCCTCCTCCTCCTCCTCCTCCTCCTTTTCCTCCTTACCCCCTGTCGTGCGGCTTGGCGTTACAACGCACGTGCGCCTCTCAGCGTGCACCGCAGAATGGTCGACTGAATCGGTCCACTTGGTTCTCGGACGGCCAGTTTAGCTGGAGCCTCCTGGACGCAAATGGGAGTTCGGGTGATGCGGGCGGACTCGGGGGGACTCGTAGATTCCAGCGGCGCTCCTGTCCATGAGTGTGTTGCTGTGTTGCACACGGCTGATGTGGTGCACACAGGCGCCGTGGCGTACACAGGCACTGCAATGCACGCAGGCATTGTGGTGTACACTGGTGCTGTTTTGCGCACGGCTGGTGTGGTGTACGGAGGCGCTGTGGTGTACACAAGAGCTGCTGTGCCCGCAGGAACGGTGGCAAAAAGTGACGCTGTGTTGCACGCGGCCGCTGTGGTGTACATCGGCGGTGTGGTGTACACAGGCGCTGTGGTGCACGCGGGCACTGTGATGTACACAAGCTATGTGGTGCATATCGCCACCTACATGTTCGTGCTACCCGTCCTCCGTTTTTCCGAACCATTCCCCAACGCCGCCGGCGCGAAACGTGACGATGATTGCCGTCATCGGCCCAGACTTAAAAACAGTCTCCAGCCGCGTCCTCGCGCACGACGACGACGAGCGACGAGCGACGAACCACGAGCGACGACGACGAACGACGACGACGACGACGACGACGACGACGACGACGACGCCTGCGGACCAGACACCTATGCGGATTCCTACGCGGACATCTACGCGGATCCCAATGCGCACGGCGGCAGTGCCCGGAGCGCACTGGGGGGGGGGAGCGTTACGTCATGGGGGGGGGGGGGGAGCGGGGGCCATGACGCCCGTCATGCCCCAAGCAATAAATAAATGGCCTCCTGCAAACTGTTCCTTGTTGATGGACCGCGCGAGGGGGGGAGAGCCGAGAAGGAGCCTAATTGCCACGCCCGAGTCGGGTGCTCTGAATTCCTGGGGCACGGGAAATATATATATATATATATATATATCTGAGATTCGCGCCCCCGAGGCCATAAACCTTCGTCAATTACACCATGCTCGCGTCCCCGAGGCCATAAACCCTCGTGAATTACGGAATGTTCGCGTCCCCGAAGCTAGAATCCCTTGCGAAATACCGCCTGCTCGTGTCCCCGAAGCCATAAACCTTTGAATTATACCATACTTGCGTCTCCAAGGCTACAGGCGCTCGCAAATCACACAATATTCGCGTCCCCGAAGCAATAAACCGTCGTCAAGTATGAAATGCTCGCGTCTCCGAAGCCATAAACCTGCGTAAATGACGCAATACTTGCGACCCCGAAGCCATAGACCCTCAAATTACGCAATGTGTCGAAGCCATACACCCTCGTAAATTACACCAGATTCGCGTATCTGGAGCCATAAACTTGCGTAAATTACCCTATAGCTGCGAGCCCGAAGCCCTAAACCCTCGTACATTACACGCTATTCGCGTATCCGGAGCCATAAACCCTCGAAATACAACACCGAACTCAACAAGATCATCAGAATCTCAATTTGTCTTGCCGATTACTCATCGTCGTCGCGTGAAGTCCCGACACTGCTTCACGGCGGCGCCAAGGCCTCATGATTTCGCTCTTGCATTGCCCATTGTCCGAGAGAGGAGGCCGGCGGCAGGGGGCGAAGCCCTTACGGATACGGGGTTTCCCCATACTTGCCCATGCTTCCTGGGCTCCTGCCTCCCCCCCCCACACACTTCCCGTATTCTCCCACACTTTCTCGGGAATCCTCCTCCTCCTCCTCCTCCTCCTCCTCCTCCTCCTCCTCCTCCTCCTCCTCCTTGTGCCTGTGTGCTTCTCTTCCTCCTGACGTGTGGACGGCCGTCCCCCCCCCCCCCCGCGCCGGCCCCCGTTGCGGGCGCCGCCGCTGGCCGGTGTCGTACGGGCTCTGGTGCTGCTCCCCGTGCTGCATGTCCTCGATGGTCGTGCTGTTGCGCACGACGGCCCTCACGGGCTGGGAAGCAGCTGCTGCCGCGAGCAGAGGACCCAGACCCCCTCGAGTCATGAAAAAATCACGACGGGAGGTTTTTAGCCATTTCCGGCCTCTGGGGGCCCTTACCGGCCCTCGGGGCCGTCAAAAAACGACTCAGGATGAAAAACCGGTCCTGGGGAATGGGTCCAGACCTCTGGGGGTCGACGTCGTGAAAAAATCATGACGTCGGGGGTCTGGGACTGCTGCTGCGAGCAGAGGAAAGAGAACTGTGCACATACACCGCTTCTGGCCAGGCCCATCCTGAGCCCAGGATCCGTGCATACGCCCTCCTGCCTTGGCCAGGAGAGCATCTGCACCGATCCTGGGCCCAGGAGGGGCCTCGCCAGAGTCCGTGTATGTGCATAGTTCCGTTCGCCCGACGCGAGGTCTTCGTCGGAAAGATGAGGGAGGATTGAGCCCCGTTGCGGGGCTGTTCGTGACGCCAGAGGGGGCTTCGGATCAGGCGGGATGAAGCCGGATAAAAAGCGGGAGTGAGCGGGATCGAGCGGGATCAAGCGGGATTAGGCCGGACGTGGCCGGACTTCGGACCAGGGCAAAATCAGGACTTGACCTGCCAGGAGCTGCATCCGAACACGGGGAGCCCACGGAGGACGCGCGCGCCCAGCCGCGCGCAGGAGCACGGCCTCTCCATCCGCGAGACCGGCCGCGCGACAAGAACGCTCGCGCAGTGCGTGCTCTCGAAACCAGCGCGGCCTCACGCACGCGCACGTCCTTCTTCCGCTCCTGACCCCCGAGGGAAGGGGGGTTCTCGGGACGAGGCGCCTCGATGAACGTAAATCCACCCGTGGCTATCCCTTCCTGGCATTAGGCTTATGTCGAGCGTGTCCCCCTACAGGGGGATTTTCGACGGAAAAAAAAACAAATACCCCAAAAGTACCCCCAAAGGCCAAAAAATACTTTTAAAAAATTGTCCCCAGACTATTTTTGAAATATTTGTTGTTTTGACTATTTTTGGGTATCTTGTATTTTTCGCCGAGAATCCCCCTGTAGGGGGACAGGCCCGACTTAACATTAGGCCCCCATCCCTCAAGACCCCATCTTTGCACCACCGGCCTGAAGTGGTACAGCGTGAACATCCCGAGCGGGTACGCCAAGGCCGCCAGAACCGCCCACGAGGTGAAGACGGCGGCCGTGCTGCACCAGAACGCGAGGCCCCTGGAGGCCTCCGCGTCGCCCACCTCGGCGAGGCGCCGGACCAGCTCGGGCACCGAGAAGACGGCGACGAAGATCGGGTGTTGCTAGAAGTGCCCCTGGCCCAAGGTGCCCCAGGATTCTCGGGGTGGCCCAAAGGGCCTCCAGAGCACCCCTCACGAGGTCCAGAGGGTCCCAGGGGTCCAAAAAAAGAGCGAAAAGCTGAGGGCCTTTTGGGCCAGGGGCACTTCCAGCAACACCCGAGAAGAGCGTGCAGCAGAGGCCGTGGAAGAGCAGCTGGCAGAAAAACTTCCGGTTCTGGAAGCCTCGCGGGGGCGTCGCCTCCCCGAGCCCTGCCCCCACGGGCGCGGCCCCGGCCCCGCCGACCAGAGTGCCCACAAGGGTCCTCGGGGCACATGTCTGCTCCTGCGGACTTGGCGGGGCCGGTCCCACCTGGGAGGGCGGGCTGGTGGGGCTGGCGGCGGACATGCAGCCCGGCGGGGGCGGGGGCAACTTCAGGGATGGACAGACCCCCCTTTAGCAAAACGCGGTTTAGTGAAAACGGCCTGAGGCCCGAACCTGGCGGGCGCAAGCCTGGAAAAGAACGGCCACGGCGCCACCTCGCGAACCGAGAACGGACAATTCACGAATCGACGTGTCACTGATGGGGGTTCTGTCCACCCCCGACAATCAGGGGGGCGTAAGACCCGGGTACAGGGGACTCGGAAATCCCCGACGAGGTCGTAAAAAAAAATGACGAGGCCGAGCCTGCATTTTGACGAGGCCTCCCGCTGCAGACATCCCACGAAACTCCTACTCGTCAAAATCCGAATCGCGGTCGTCAAAAAACGATGGCGAACCCGAGTCATGGCAAACCCGGGTCTTACGCTGCCCCGAGACAACTGAAGCGATGCGGAACCTATGCATGCGTTGAGGTAGAGGCAGTGGTGGTCCATGTCTCGGGAGCGGCCAAGAGGGGGGTGCCCAAGAGGGGGGGGGGCGAATCATGACCGGCGGCATGTGCGCGGCCCAGCGGGGGGGCCAGGGACGTGATGAAGCAAGAAGGGGCGCCATGAGATCTGGGGAGATATCATGGCCCCCGCCATGATATCCACCCCGCCCTAGTCATCCCCCCCCTCTTTTCCGCTCCCGAATGTTCAGGACGCACCGGCCGCAGACGCTGCAGTGGTGGCACCTGTCGGGCTTCTGCGCGTGGCACACGGCGCAGTGCCTCTTGCCGGGCTGCTGGAAGCCGCGGGGCACGCGGCCGGGGTCCGTGGAGACGGTCAGGTAGAACGCGCCGACCTTAGCTAATTAGGGAGCCCACAAAGGACGTACGCGCCCAGCCATGTATACATGAACACGGCCCCTCGATTCGCGAGACCGGCCGCGTGATACGAACATTTGTGCAATGCGTGCTCTCGAAACCAGCGTGGATTCGTGTACATGTACGTGCTTCTTTCGCTCCTGATTAGTGGGCCCCAGACACGGCAGGGCCGTTTTGTTACCGCTTCCAAACTAGTGCCCCTCGGAAATGGGACCGGCCAAAAAACGGCGACCGGAAACGGCACACAGACGGCTCTGGGATGGGGAGCCGGAGCCGGAACCGGAGCCGGAACCGGCAAGAAGACGGCGACGGCACCGGCAAAAGAGCGGCGGCGTCGGATCCGGCAGAAAAGCGGCAAAACCGAACCGGTAAAAAGACGGCCCTGGCGCCGACCATGCCCGCCACGGGGACGTGGAAGAGGGCGACGACTGCGACGGCCGCGGCCTCCCCGGCCTGCAGCCTCGGGCCCCAGCAGAGAGCGACGAGGGCAGAGGGGCCCAAGAGCGGCACGGGCGCGGACGCTCGGAGGTCCGCGCGGGGCCCCTGGGCGCGGCGGAGCCGGCGCCGACGGCGGGGCCGCCAGGGGTGTTGGGAGGGGGGCCCAACGCCGACCTGCGAAAGCCGCGCGGGCCTCGAGAGGTCACTCGGGGAGCTGCTGACCCGGGTCGGTGCAGACCCGGGCCAGTCGGGCCTTGCAGGATCCTGCAGGGTCCTGCAGCATCCTGCAGGTTCCTGCACCCAAGCCAAGGCGCATGCACCCCCGGCTCTGCAGGATCCTGCAAGATCTGGCGCTCTGACTGACCCCCGTTTGTACTGACCCCCGTCTCTCGAGCCCCGAGCCATGCCCGTGCCGCCTTTCCGGCCCTCCAGAAGGACAGGTAGCTGCAGAGCATGAGCGCGGCCACGGCGACCCGCAGACGCGCGCCGTACAGCCGCAGCCGCCGCCAAGCCTCCTCGCCCCTCTGCTGGCCCCCGCGGTCGTCTGGGGCGCCCTGGGGCCCTCCACGCGCGCTGGCCTCTCGAGCCTGCCCCCCCCGCCTCTGCCACTGCGCGCGCCCGCGCCTGCAGTCATCGGCCTGACATAAGGAACGATAAATGAGGAACGAAACCCCTCTTTAATCCCAAGGAATAACGCACAAGGAACGGTAAATAACAAATAACGCACAAGGAACTGTAAATAACGCATGTAACATCGAAGGAACGACCGGGCCCCTTTTGAAAAGCAAGTGCCCCTTATTCAAGCCGCTCACTGTACGCCTGAGCCTGCGCCAACTGCTGGGCAAGCGAGATGCGCGCAGGCCCATCCTCGGGGGCCACGAGCGGTGCTCGTCGGCGGCGCGCAGTGGAGGAGGAGGAGGAGGAGGAGGAGGTGGAGGGGGAGGAGGAGGAGGAGGAGGAGGTGGGGGAGGGGTATGGGGGAGGAGGGGGAGGCTGCTTAGAAGCAGGGGTGCTTCTAAGAAGCCTTCCCCGCCCCCTTTTGCGCGTGGCTGGGCTCACGCCTTCCCGCCCTGGCCACTGGAAGACGCGTGCACCGATCCTGGCCAGAGGATGGGCCGCGCCAGGATCGGTGCCCTGGGCACGGTTCTCTGCGCCCGACCCACGCCGCACGCAGGACGGGGGCCGGGGCGAGGGGGGCGGCCGTCTGAAAACGCTAGGAAGGGGGGCCTCTCAGAAGAGCTCGGAGGTTTTCGATGAAACTTCTGGGAAGGCGGGAGGGTTTCAAACGCGGCCGGGGAGGAGGAGGAGGAGGAGGAGGAGGAGGAAGAGGAGGACGGGGAGGAGGAGGAAGAGGAGGAGGAGGAGGGGGACGAGGACGAGGAGGAGGAGGAGGAGGAAGAGGAGGAGGAGGAGAAGGATGGAGCGAGTCCAATGGTCTCCATAGCCAGCGAAACGAACTAGGGAGCCACGCTTAAAAAGCGGCCATCCTAGCCGCGGGGAGCACCACCGCTCAGGGTAAGACCCGTGCGCGGGCGATCCCCCAACCTTGAGATTTGCCAGGGCTGTTGTACGGAGGCAGCTAACCCAATTGGCTGGGCCATTACACTTCCGTCAGCACGGGAAATCGCCCGGTGGCTGCTGGTCCACCACAGCGAATCCAAGAGACAAACGGGCATGTGGCGACAAGATGGCGCCGACGCACAAGCTCGCAGGATGTCTCGGGGGCGATCGCAGACACACTGGGCCCCGAAGGTGACTGATCGGCACACAACACAAGCCCGCTAGCGTACACGGCCCTACTTCCAGCCGTAGCAATGGCAGCCCCCGCGGGGGCCGCCGCGTCCGCTGACGCCCCAGATTGGCCGCCAGCGGGGATCCGACCCCTACCGGCCTCCCCACACCCCGCGGGCGACGCGGCAGGGGCCCAGGGCCTCACGCCTTCGGGATGGCCAACCTCAGGCCCCAAGGAGCGGTCGGCCGTTCGGAGAGCGTCGGCGATGGCCTGGCCTCGGAGGACGAGGACGGGAGTAGGGAGCCGAACTCTGTACACCGACACCTGTGCCTGGCCCTACACCGGATCTCGCACAGGGAAGCGGATCCTGGTGCATACGGGATCCTGGTGGGTGCCTTCTTCTTCGTGTCCCCCCAGAACACGGGGAAAAAAAAAGATACACCGCACCACCCCGGCGTCGTCCCCGACCCTCAAGGAGAAAGTCCAGGGATTCAAAGAGACAACCCGCAACTGGTAACGTGTGTACGCTCCGGCTTCCGAGGGAGGGACGTGCGCGTCGAGGAGGAGGAGGAAGAGGAGGAGGAGGAGGAGGAGGAGGAGGAGGAAGAGGGGGAGGGGGAGGAGGAGGAGGAGGAGGAGGAGGAGGAGGAGGAGGAGGAGGAGGACGAGGACGAGGAGGAGGAGGAGGAGGAGGAGGAGGAGGAGGACCACACCTTCCGAGGAAGGTTCTGCCCGGCACGGACCGCGAGGCGCCGCGGGGCGGAGAGGGGGCGCAGGACGCGCGCCCACGCCGCAGCAGCGCGGCCTCACTCGAAGACCGCGACGTGCACTGTCTGGTAAAAGGATGTTCCACGGTGGTGGACCCAAGACTGCTCCCTGAAACAAGAGTTGTTCATGATGATATCTCCAGAAGTGTAGCCAACCACTGTTGCTCTGCGCATAGATCTTGCCCCGGCCGTCCTCGACGATCGCGCGTCTGGGTGGACGGCGTCAGCCATCGCGCATAGGCAACCCAAGACTGGCCCCTCTTAGAGACCCATGGAGCGCACGCAGGGATGGCCCAGACACGGAAACACATGGCTGGGAAAACCTTGCGCCAATGTGCATGCACTCCACGAAAACGCCGCGGGAAGTTGACTCGAACGCCCGTGCGTCCGAGCGAAGCTGAAGAAATCCACGCCTGCCTCTGCGAGCGCCCTCTAGCCGAACGCTCGGGCGGGAAGAATTGGGGCAGCGAGCCATTGGGGCAATCGACCAACATCTGGCAATGATCGTTGGGATGCACTGAGAAATTGCACGGTGCTAGTAGGGCAGCATGATCAGCGAAATCCTGCACATATTGTGGATCGGTGAAAGCTGACAGGCCACATTTGACCTCACGCACTCCGTGACTTGTCGGTCTTTGAGGAAGGCGAGGGGGATCGGGGGCAAAGCCCCCGCAGCCTTGATCCACAATAAAAAAGCCAACTCGATATCGCCCTTGACAACCGCCTGTAGCACTAGTGCATCGCGCGCGAAAGGTATGCAATCGAGACGTCGCCCTTCTAAGATTAGAACCTGCAGGAGCAGGCCACGCGGCCCCACGAGTACTCGAGGAGGGAAATGCAACTGGCAGCCAGAGCCGTCGTTCTAGGAGGGCCTCGTGAGAGCAGAGACCAGCGCAGTTCTGGGGTCCCAGGTGAGCGCTGCCAGTGGCCTCTGAAACGCTTGACCCAACCCTAGCTCGTTAAAGGCTTAACGACTTCTGCCGTCCTTCGACTCGCGCTGGAGCGGCCGCGAGATGCTTCACCTTTCCTCGGAGATCTTTGGATTTACCCGGATTTGTTTCGATTTGCCTGGATTTATCTGGATTTACCTCGATTTATCTGCATCTACCTGGATTTTTCTGGCTCGCTCCCCACAAGTCGATCGGCGAAAAGTCGACAAGCCCTTAGGGACTAGCACTAGCACCAATACGGTGAATCTCTGGAATTTCGGGATCGAGTAGGCGCCGTAAGCGCGCGGAAAAAGAGGCCCACCAATCACCGACCGCCGCCTTGCCAGCTGCGCAGCGGGGCGCGCGCCCGACGACCACGCGGCCAGCAACGATGAGCAAGCGAGGGGAAGCCCATAGAGCCTTGCAGCGTGCTGCTGTGCGCCGGCAAGAACCATTGCAGGCGCATATCGCATGCGTCCATAGAGAACATCCACATCGGCGGTGAGCGCCAGCACTGACGCGAATAACGCGGTAATCTCCTGCATTAGAAAAACCGCAACGCGGGAAACGAGCCCCCAAAGCACCAGCTAGGAAGACACAGCGCTTGGAGAACACGCGGCCCAGATGGGCCATGCGACCTGGCAGGCGCAGACCAGACACTTGCGCGGCCCCGAAGGCCCTCGGGCGCACGGTGAGCACGCTGGCGGAGACCACGCACAGGGACCTCGCATGGGCAACCCCTTTGGAGCCACGAGGGGCCTCGACGCCCGAAGCCCTAGGGCGCGGCGGAGCCACGCTGGAAACACCGCGCGCGGGCGCGGCGGGCCCCGGCAGAGGCCGGGCTCCTGCCGGCGGAAACTGAGCGCGAATATACGAAGGAACAAACTCAGGCCAAACCCGGCGCAGCGCCTGCACGGAAAGCCGGCGGTCGCGCCAGGTAAAGGACAGATGCGACGCAAAACCAATCCGCTGCACTGCAAGAAGCGCGGCTAACGCGTCTGCAGGCTCACCCCATGGGTCGGCCGAATGCCCCGACGCACGCCGGGCTCTGAAAGCGTCGACGCCGCCATAAAGCACGATGCGAGACAAG